CAGCAATAAAGCTGTGTTTTTTGAGTTTACCTTTTGTCTCTGTGAGTTTGCGTTTGGGTCCTACTTTTGCCTGCACACAGCCGTACTGTGACAGACCCGGGGCAAATTTACTCATCCAAAAGTGTCAGAAACACTGGTATTGATTATTTTACAATTTTCTTTTATAATTTAGGTTTTTTTCATTTTCGGTATTGATGCAGATGACATGTGACATCTCTTCTGTTCTGGGTCAATCTGCCCCGCAACATAACAGGAGGGATAAACTGCTATAGACAACTTTTTGGTCTATAATATGTGAAACATGTCATATGTATCCCTCATGAGTGATATTGAGTCATCTTGTGCCACAAACAACATTCCTGTCACAAGGTGGAAGCTGCAATCACTTTTTGGCAGTGATTTTTACTTCGTATTTATTCATTTGACATTAAAATTACTTTTTTAATGTCATCTGGCCAAGAGGACAGCAGAAATTGCAACAAATATAATAATAGTTCTCTAAACATATTTTAAGTGTCCCAAAAGGACTGGGTTGGTTTTGATATAGTTACAATAACACAGAGTTATAAATATACTTGAAAAAATGGGTCGTTATTAAACTTGATATATACCCTTTTGTAAATCATGTTCACTAAAGTCTATTTACCAATATAAGTAAAGACATTGGAAATCAGTTTTTGTCAGACGATCACTTTTTGGCACAACACCAGAGGTAAAACAGGTATGATCCTTCATATCTGGAGTGTGAAGGTGCAGACATAAATTCAGATATCTCTGGGATGTTTAAGAGTTTAGAATTTCTCTCGTTCATTAGCTTTATTCAGATAATTCAGTAATCACTCAAGATTAGTTCACTAGTACTCCTGAATTCAAAGAAATAGTCAGGGTATTCGGCACTGTGCTTTCCCACAGGCGAACTCAGGTGAAATGAAAGAAGTATTGGATGCCCTCCTCCTCTGGCACAATGATAACTCACAAAAGCTCCTTGGAGTAAGGAGATCAGGTTCAGAAGTGGTTCTTTCTAAGAACGTATATCTGTATTTATAAATGACATATTAAGGATGAGTAATGCTTAAATAATGAGGAAATTAAGCAGTGACCAATGACACATTTAACAATGTGTCATTTTTATCCACTATTCTATGTTTATTTATGAGTACAAGATCCTTTTTTTCCCTATCAAATAACCTAAGCAGATGTGTCATTGGATAATGGCAGGTCATCCTGAAACAATCAGAATCAGAATACTTTATTAATCCCAAAGGAAATTAGGTGGGTTACAGTTGCTCCTAGAAGAAATGGTAAAAATAGTAACAGTAATTGACTAAACTACAAACAATACATTATGTTACAGATTTTAATATTAATTAGTCATTGTTAATTATTGATGTGTCCTCTTCTCACTGTATGACAAATTATGATGGCTGTTTGGTAGACGTTTGCATACTATGCATACTATGCATACTCTCTCTTCATATGTGTGTGTCTGTCTTTTCTCTGGTGAAATTCAGTATGGTTGTGCCAGAGGGAGTGTTCGCCCAGGGCGCCAAACAGGCTTGGACCGCCACTGGATAAATGTATGGATCAGAGTCTCTGGGTGGCATCTAGACAAGATGGGCTTAATTTTTTAGAGCCACGTCAACTGAAAGAAAAAGGACTTGACTACAGTATTCCTTAAAGCTTTACTGTGACTCTTTGGGCACATGCATTTGAGACTAATGTGGGATAAGTCTGGGTTTGCCCTGCCCATACAGCTTTAGAGTTCATCCCACCCACTTTGGGCCTGCGCAGCCATTTTTGATAAAACATATTTATTAAATAGGAAATGGTCACCACCTTGTTGCTGCATTTTCTTTTAATCAGTCTCCAACAGTAAAATAATTTGATACAATTACCAGAAAACCATTTATTTTTCCTAGTCACAAGGACATGTCATCCTATTTTAACTCAAAATATATGAAACAACACAAACACACACAGTCATTAAATGTAACCTGATAGTATCAGGTTCCATCGCCTTACAGCATCACTTTGTTGTTCATGATTTGCAATGCAAATCAAGGTTTTTTTTTTATGCAAATGCAAACTTTAACACCAAGCTGTAAGATTAGAAATACAGTGGGGCAAAAAAGTATTTAGTCAGCCACCTATTGTGCAAGTTCCCCCACTTAAAACGATGACAGAGGTCAGTAATTTGCACCAGAGGTACACTTCAACTGTGAGAGACAGAATGTGAAAAAAAAATCCATGAATCACATGGTAGGATTTGTAAAGAATTTATTCGTAAATTAGGGTGGAAAATAAGTATTTGGTCACCTCAAACAAGGAAAATCTCTGGCTCTCACAGACCTGTAACGTCTTCTGTAAGAAGCTTTTCTGTCCCCCACTCGTTACCTGTATGAATGGCACCTGTTTGAACTCATCATCTGTATAAAAGACACCTGTCCACAGCCTCAAACAGTCAGACTCCAAACTCCGCCATGGCCAAGACCAAAGAGCTTTCGAAGGACACCAGGAAAAGTATTGTAGACCTGCACCAGACTGGGAAGAGTGAATCTACAATAGGCAAGCAGCTTGGTGTGAAAAAATCAACTGTGGGAGCAATCATCAGAAAATGGAAGACATACAAGACCACTGATAATCTCCCTCGATCTGGGGCTCCACGCAAGATCTCATCCCGTGGGGTCAAAATGATCACGAGAACGGTGAGCAAAGATCCCAGAACCACACGGGGGGACCTGGTGAATGACCTGCAGAGAGCTGGGACCAAAGTAACAAAGGTCACCATCAGTAACACACTACAACGGCAGGGAATCAAATCCCGCAGTGCCAGACGTGTTCCGCTGCTGAAGCCAGTGCATGTCCAGGCCCGTCTGAAGTTTGCCAGAGAGCACATGGATGATACAGCAGAGGATTGGGAGAATGTCATGTGGTCAGATGAAACCAAAGTAAAACTTTTTGGTATAAACTCAACTCGTCATGTTTGGAGGAAGAAGAATACTGAGTTGCATCTCAAGAACACCATACCTACTGTGAAGCATGGGGGTGGAAACATCATGCTATGGGGCTGTTTTTCTGCCAAGGGGACAGGACGACTGATCCGTGTTAAGGACAGAATGAATGGGGCCATGTATCGTGAGATTTTGAGCCAAAACCTCCTTCCATCAGTGAGAACTTTGAAGATGAAACGAGGCTGGGTCTTCCAACATGACAATGATCCAAAACACACCGCCTGGGCAACAAAGGAGTGGCTCCGTAAGAAGCATTTGAAAGTCCTGGAGTGGCCTAGCCAGTCTCCAGACCTCAACCCCATAGAAAATCTGTGGCGGGAGTTGAAAGTCCGTGTTGCTCGGCGACAGCCCCAAAACATCACTGCTCTCGAGAAGATCTGCATGGAGGAATGGGCCAAAATACCAGCTACTGTGTGTGCAAACCTGGTAAAGACCTATAGTAAACGTTTGACCTCTGTTATTGCCAACAAAGGTTATGTTACAAAGTATTGAGTTGTATTTTTGTTATTGACCAAATACTTATTTTCCACCCTGATTTACAAATAAATTCTTTACAAATCCTACCATGTGGATTCATGGATTTTTATTTCACATTCTGTCTCTCACAGTTGAAGTGTACCTCTGGTGCAAATTACTGACCTCTGTCATCATTTTAGGTGGGGGAACTTGCACAATCGGTGGCTGACTAAATACTTTTTTGCCCCACTGTATCTGTTTTCCCATGGGCTTTAACTTTTGACTTGTAACAACTGGAGGAAAATCACACTGTGCTTAAACTGGAAATTTGTTTTCATCTTAATTTTTTTTCTCAAAATCAGAATCAGTTTTATTTTCAATTTTATACACACAAACCTTGTTCTGTGTTCTGCTGTCCATAGTCATAATGCAATTTTCCTGATATTGATCAATGACTTGCTTTGAGGGAAAAAAAAGTAGCTTTAGTAGTAGTTTTATTGCTGAACATGTGAACAGGGTAAAGTATACTATTTCAATGACGTCATCCTGTATTTGATGCATACTGAGTAGTGACAAGGAAGATAAGAAATTTATTTTTTTTCAGTTGATACTTCCTCTTTTTTACTTAGAATAGCATTTACATTTGTTTCATCAACTTCCTTTGCAGCACGTCAAATTCAGCCAACCCCCCCCCGCTGTCACTTCTGTTTTGCTCTGTGTCCTCTATTAACTTAGTTCCACAGCAACATGGAAAGGTAGGGTATGCTTTGGTTCACTTTATAATACATTTTACTTTCTGTGTTGATGCTAATAACAAGGGTTGTTAGTGTTATTAGAGTCATTCGACTTTATACTTTTTTTAATTTGTGATTTTGATTCAATGTATTTCTTAGGATTACTGGTAGTAGAAATAGGAGGAGTAGAAGTTGAATTCGTTTTATTTCTATACCTGTGTTTTTTATAACTTGGTACAGTCTCTAAAACTCAAAATCTTTATGTAGAAAACATATTTTGCATTGTTCTGATGATGAGTCTTCAGGGTGATGATGATCTGCCTTCAGCATAATAGCAACAAAATAAATTTTGTGCTAATCTAAAAAATTAAGACATTTTAATCAGAAAAGAACTTTGACTGAAAAGCATTGCCTTTTTTTCCATTCTAAATGAGAGAGTCTCTTTACAGGGAGAAGAGCTGGATATTCTGGTGGTTGATGCCTTTTATGTCTTATTACATGCTTTATCAGAATTGTCTGTCGGAACAGTATTTCTGTGGGAATTCATGCAATATATCAGCTACAATAAGTAAGTTGTTATATTAACTACTGTAACAAAAGAATGACTTTATTACTGGAACAGCCAGACAATTTAGATTCTAACCTAAGAAACAAGGCTTAATCACTTTTTCTTTTTGCCTTTTATGAGTTTGAATAAAGTAAACTCAGCTTGTTTTCTGTCAATTTTAGCTACATGTGTTTCTTTCTTTTATACTATATAAAAAGTCTGTACACACTATATTCTACCACAGCCCTAAAATGTCACGTCCCTTTAAATTACATTAAATTACGTTACTACACTTTAGAAGAACACATCCTATCCTCAGTGTACTGTCTGCAGCTACTGTAGACACTACGTCATCCTTTAAATTTGAAAAACATTATTACTGAAAGACTCATGTGAAGTCACATTAGCAAATATTTTATTTACCACAGAACATAAATAACATAAAAGATGCTTAAACTGAGAAATTTTACAATTTTAAGCACAAAATTAGCTCATTTTAAAATTGATGTTTGCTACAGGTGCATGTTTACCTCGGTCTTATTTTTAACATTTTGAGTTATTTTCCAGTGTTAGAAAATCAGCACTGCTCAGTGTTAGCCATTGTTAATCTTCAAAACTGACTAGGTTACTTTTAAACACATAACACTGTCAAAAGTGTTAATTTAACACTCAACAGTGTTGTATTTAACACTCAGAGGTGTGGACCCATATAGACACTCTCTAGTGTTAATTTAACACTGGAGATTTTGCTGTGTGGAAACATTCCTTGGCCCATTAAGTAATGTCAGTGACACAATCATGCCAGTGAGTGATTAATAAACATTTTCAGCCTCGTCCTTTATGCACAAAGACATCTTAAGTTTCTCTGAATCTTTTGATTATGTTATGCACTGAAGATGATGAGAGTTGCAAACCCTTTGCAATTTGATGTTGAGGAACATTTGAAGTATTGTACGATATTTTTACAGACTCTTCCACAGATTAGAGAGCCTCAGCCCATTTTTACTTCTGAGAGAATGCCTCTCTAAGACATCTCTTTTATAGCTAATTATATTAAAGACCTGATATCAGTCAACTTAATTACTTGCTAAATGTTCTCTCAGATGAAACCTTTTCATCTTTCTTGCTTTTTCAGCCATTTGCTGCATCATGACATTTTTTGCTGAACTGTAGCAAACATCAGGTTTGATTTCATTTGAAAGTCTTTTGGTTTTCTTTTCTTTTCTTTTCATTTTTTATTTTTTTTTTTACCAAATTTAACAAACATTCCAACTCTTCTGGAATTCAGGTTTTATATATTACAACTTGTTTTAAACAGTCATTATTCTAACATGGTAAAATAGCATTTAAAATGTGAAATTGGTGTTTTGAGATTAAACCTTCATATATTCTGTGGACATGAGGGGTGCTTTAATTAAACTGTACAAGGGTTCAATGTGTGTTCTTACATTTTGTCTACAGGTCGTAATCAGGCCGAGTGTTGTATGAATTATACAGATAATGTTTTGAATGGGGGAAACCTCAGTGACACTTTGAGGTAAACATTTGAATTATTTATAATACATTGTGTGTGTGTGTGTGTGGGGGGGGGGGGGGGGTTGGGAATTTAACACTTGACTGTTTTCTACATTAATAAAAGGATGTAAATTGTTAATATTGTATTAATATTTTTGCATTCTACTCCCCAAGAGCCATTTGGACTCTAGAGAAGGTTCTAGAGGGAACAGAGGTGAATGGGAGCATGCAATTGTATGTAAAGACTTTTGTCGCTCTTCTGCACAAACCCAGTGGTCCCTTCGGAGGCCTTGAAATTTATGCCAATGACACAAAGGTAAAAAAATTAAAAATATTCACACAATCTTATTGAACAGTAGCTTGTAGTCAGACTCCACATGTAGTCAGAAATACCTTCCAAGTAGTGATGTACAGAGCTGATATTTAGATCCAATGTTGAGCGTGAGTCAGGTATTGATAACGACCGGCTTATTTAAGATCTGATCCACTGTATTCAATCTAATGTTGTTCTGTTCGAGGTAATTTTAGTGAACGTAATCTAAACTAAATCTTTTTCTATTCTTGGCATGTTGATGCTGATACAGGTAACACCAGATGTGCCTCTTCTCAACAGTAAAGTCATTGTCCAGCTGCCAAGAGAACTGGGTGCTGGACCGAATAACACGTTTGTGTTCTGCATGTTTAAATGGCCTGAAACAAATAAGGTCATAAACTACACTTCTTATTTAAAAACATGTAGAAAAAGGATGTGGTGAGCTATAGAATAATACGATCTTTGTATTTACACATTAAATTTAAACTACTGCTCATGGAGCTTGTGGGTTTTGCTTGTTTCAGTCTAATAAAATAACATTAGGATTTTTTTCTTTTTCTTTGTCAGGTTATATATTTCTTTTGTTTACCACTTGTTAGGAAATGTACTCCTGTTTATTTTCACATCATTATAAAGTTGTTTTAATCAAATTTACATGTCCTTAACAAAGGAGGGGTGTATACACATGGCATACAAAAAAAAACAATCAGATTTTAAAATCCCAGCTTAACAAGCCTATCAAGCTTACTTTCACCAGCTACACCTAACAGCCAATAAAATTAAACCCTGAATTTGAAGCTTCTGAATTTGCTGGATGCTTGAATTATTTGTCCAGCGGGGAATTTGTACTCTTGAGCATAGTGACATTATTTTATTAACACATGAAATGTAAAATTAGTACACATATTTTGAAGGAAGTTGAGTACATCAGGAAAGAATCATCACCTTTTTTTCTAACAAAATGTAAATGAGTTGCATATCAAACAGTGTAAGTAGATCACTTAGTAGTGTTTTTCCATTTAACACAGAAGATTCAGAAAATAATATTAAAATTGTCTTTGCAAAATTGTTAAACCAGCTGACAAATTTGCATTTTATTGTAGAGCGTTTTTGAAAGCCCACATGAAGTATATGATCAAAGACTGGTTGGTCTGAGTGTGCAGGGCAAGAAGATATCAGGACTGCAGGAGCGCATCAACATCACGATGGAGTTTACCAAGAAAATCGACGTAACTATGCTTTTTTGAACATTTATTTCAGTCTTACCTCCTGTAATTTAATTGCACAATTAGTTGACACATATAATATTCTGTACATTTTGTACAAACATGAAATATGTTTGTGTCATAGGAAACTCAAAAACCCTCGTGTCAGTTCTTTAATTATTCAACATACAGTAAGTATCAGATCTGTCATGAACAGTAATGTACACTGCTCAAACATTAAATAACGGAACACCTTTTAATCAGAGTACAGCAACAAGTCAATTAATCTTATGGGACACATTACCCATTCCACTTGATTATAGATATCCATCACGATTTATTCCCCCCTGAAAATCTAATGTTTCCAAAGTGTTCCTTTAATCTTTTTTGAGCAGTATAGCGCAACAATATTTTCATAAGTTAGACTCATTGTGGTTTGTGTTTTCACTCATGGCCACTTAACTGAGCTGATGTTCAGAAATGTGATCTTTTGCGTAATGGATCTGTGTCGTTTGCTTACCAGCTTTTAGAGAGGATGGCTGCGTCACACACTGGACACATCGTCAGAATAACATCACCTGTTCCTGCAACCACCTCACATACTTTGGTATCCTCATAGTAAGACTGGGCTCATTTATTATTTAAAGAGGCCATTGTTTGTCCATTGTTCTTCACTTCTATCAACAAACACTTATCAGCAAACACTTATCTGAATTGCCTCAAACTTTGCAGCTTCACAAGGACATGCCAGACCATTACTCTATTTACCTTAATTCTGCCTTCAAACAGGCTTTTCAAGTGGTGTTAGGAAAGAGACCGCAAGCTAAAAATACACTGCAAAGTTTAGTCATTCTACTGTTCTCTCTATGTGTTAAACTCCCTGAGTGTGAACATAGATAAACAGCCAGCCAAACTCCTTTTCAAGAGCCAGGAAGGTGAGCGTA